TTAAGCTTAAAGACATTGCTTTTTTTATTGAATTTAATCAGGATAAATGCATTAAAATTTATAATTTTTTAAAAATGACTTTTTTAATAACTTATTCATAGTATTTTTTTTACTTCAAACTCATTTTTTATTAGCCATTCAAATTTTGTAAAGCCACAAAATGATCTACAAAACTTAGCCAATTAGAATTAAAGCCTGTCATGTTATAAGTTCTAAAGTTTAAAAGATTCAATACTAGATTGTTAAAAAAAATTAACATAACTTTTATTTTGATAAACATTTCATCAAATTTTAATAAATGTTAAGTGGTTGTCTTTTTACTTAATTACATATTAGGAACAGGGGGAAATGTACCTAAAAATAGAAACACATTATACAATTTATTAAAGTCGTAATTTATATGTCTTAAAGTACTTTTTCACGAGACTTGTGTAGCCCATTCTTTCTATCAAATGTATGCTATTGTTTTAAGAAAACATAAAGTACTTTTATTAGCAAATACGAATATCGAATGAATCCACTTGAATTTACTACTTTTTATTATTGCCAAGTATATCTGAAGTTAGATATTGCATTGAATGCCAAGCCATCAAAACTCCTAGGTTTCATTCACTGAACAAGATCAAATTGAGAGAACTTGCAAATGAAGGTCTAGCAAAGCTAAAGTGAAATGACAGTTCCATTTTATGTAATAAATGTTATATAGATCTAGTTGAAAATCTACTGAGAAGAGGTAGTAAGCAAGCAAAAGATATAGATCTAAATGAAGAAGCATATACATTTAATGAAAAAATTGAGCTCTCTGAAGCTATTAAGTTGTTGGCTAAAGTTCTTTATGAAAGAGAGCATGTGAAAAAGGAAAATACAATACATTCATTTGAAGATTTGAGAAAATTACTAGAAAAAAATGAACCTAATCTTAAGTATTTTTTTGAGTAACTTTATTTAGCAGCTAGGCCATCCACACGTACAGAACAAACCATGGATCATATGAAAAGAATAATGGTCTTTATTTGTTATTTACTTGCTTCTCTGAACAATACTAAAATCAATTCTTTTAAATTTGAGATTGCATATTATTTAGATTCAGCAGGAGAACTAAAAAAGACTTAAATATGATGGCGAATCTTGGTGTCGCTACAATATCGTAGGCTGTAGGTCAACAGAAGAGAAAAATATCAGATGCATATGAAAAATATGTGGAGCATGCACTTTTTCAGCAATTAGGAAATGCACTTGTGCTAAATGTTGACAACTATCACAATATCCATGTTCCCCAGCAACCTAATATGATGGCTACTTCTAAGCCAACACATATAGCAACAATTTTAATGAACCTGTGTTTAATACCAGCAATACCATGCAATAGAATAGTTAATTTAAAGCTTATAGATAGCAATTTGATTATGAAACATCTTGATGGACGATTTATCGTAAATCTTGGTATTCTATATCATAATCGTATGTGAAATAGAGAACAATCATGTACAGATAAAGAAGTATTAGATAGATTAACAATATACAGCTATAATGATAGGCTTGCAGAGAAAAAAGTTAATCGACATATATGCAACTCCATTCTTGTTGACTTCATTAAAAAGGAATTAAAAAACATAGAGAAATACGTTGATGCTCATCAAATTATATATAACCAAGAGCCAATACAAACATATCTATCCAATTATGCAATTCCTACTATTGCAGATTGGCTCAGGCAATTTTTTATCTGTAAGGCTATCGCACAATGGCTTCTTCTTAACAATGAATGTATCCCTTAGTTTGTTATGTCATTTTTGACTGTTTTGGGACCTCTTCATGTGTCTTTGAATGCTCGTGAACTTGTTTACCAAAAAAATTCTTATTTATTTAGTGATATCTATAAGGACATATTTGGAGTGAAAAAGAAACTCAGTCAGAAACCATGGCCATAGAGAATTAATTTAATTCTCTATATCATGTACTTGGCATAGTCCAATATTGCTGATACGATTTATTTGAAATTTGGGTTTACATGTAAAACCATAGAATTTTTATATCTTACTGATTTATTTAACAATTTGATTTTCTTAGTTCTTGATGTCTATGTTATACACCATCGAAGTGGAGATTGGCCATTGTATGAAGAAGCATGCATGCATTTTTGAAGTGACTTTTTTCTATGATTCAATAAAAGAAATTATAAGCATGCCCCTTTAATATTTTTTTCAAATATTTTTTACTAAATAGAAATTGGTTATCCAATAATGAATATGATTACTAATCATCTAGCATCCCTTAGTGATAGTTTAGTTGAAATCACTCACAGTATTATTCGAAGATATACTATTAAGTTTCTTACAACTGAGCAATTATAAAAGAGGTGTACTTCATATTTCAACAATGATATAATAATACTTTTCAACAAAATTTCATACATTCTGTTAAATATCCATATATATCAAAACAATTAGATATGCTTTCTCAGAAATGTTCTATATCGCTTTTAGAGATATTTGCGAAAGTATATCAAAATTGTGGCAAATGTTCTATCATTAAATCCTCAAGCAATAGTATTAATATATACAAACTATTTTCGTTAGGTTATAAAATAATGGATCGACACCTTTCAAGAGATTTTGTTATTTCTAAAAAGCCTAATGTGTCCTTTTTATGTAACTCATTGTGTTGTGATAGAATTGATAATTCGTCCAATGACTATGTTCTGGCATGTGGGCATGGTTATCATAATCATTGCTTACAAAAATCCCACTTCAAATGTTCTATTTGTTTAGATTATCTCCAAGATGAAATCAAAAAAAATGTCGATGCTCTAATAGTAAGTATGACTAATAATATAGTTGAAGTCGAATTATTTGATAATAGGGACAAGAATGAAGATGATGATAATTCAGATAATGTAGATCAAATAATAGACAATGCGATTGATGTAGAAAATTTATTAAAATATGTAAAATTAACATTTGTAAATTTGTAATAAAAAGTTTTGAAAATTTTCGATTTGTAAATTATTTTATTATTTACTCAATAAATTATTTAATTTTGACCAAACTTTTGCGTAATTATTATCGAGTATTTTACTACGTATGCCGATACTGTATAAATTATACTATAAATTATTGATCGGTATTGAATATGCGGGATGCCGATCACATGGTGATTTGTGTAACCTTTAACGTTTCCCCCTGTTCGTATTAGGACATTCATCACGAATCGGATTGGGTCAGATCAGTGATCACCATCACATGTTCACAAACTGCAAATACGAGTTGTGCGACCGCGTGATAAAAGTCAACGACACAGAATTTTCTCATGTCTTTAGCCATCCCTAAATTCGGTAAAGAAAACTTTATGACCCTGCTAAAGCTTATTAGACTCATTCTTTTACAAATTTTACTTTAGAAGCGACTCTAACAACAATTATAAGACAAAATTTTGTTGACTAACCCTATTGTATCTTACATTCCCGAAACATCTAATTTTTTAGGGGATAAACCAACTTTAAGGTTTAATTTGGCAGCACTTATCGTTATACGATACTATCTACTAATAAGTATTTGTAGAAAAAAAAAACAAACTGGTTTATTTCTTAAGTTGAATGTTAAAATTTTTATTTAAATCAAAGTAAAATTTTATATAGAAATTCTATTAAGATTTAGACAATGTAATACGTAAGTAAAATTCAGGGATCATAACGAAATTTTTTACAGTTTTCTTAATTTACTTAATTAAAAAAAACAATTAGTTAAACTTTTTTTATCAATATTTAAGTAGTCTAACCTATTAATAAAATTTTTTACCAAATTCAGTTCAAACGTTTATCCTTTTTGTTTGTAATCGTTCAGATTATATTTCGACGAATAATTTTACTTAATAAGCGAAAATCAAAAAAATAAACAAATTAAGCTATATATTTGATGATTATTACCAATTCGATTTTGAAGATTATACTTTAGTGGTGATTATACAGTTATAGGTGCATTAAGAACAATTACACAACTGCACAATAAGCTATACATAAATAGTCAGACTATCGGAGAAAATGGACCTTTTCAGAATGATGTTTATAGGTAAGACTTATGTATGTATGTACAGTACTTGCAATAAAAATTTTTAACAAATAATATTAACAATCGAATATGATTAAGGTTTTTAAATATAATTAATTTTTTGTATAATAATACATAATAATTTGCACGTTTTTATGTTACGTACCAGTCGTACCAGTCCGGCACAATGTTAAATTAGAATTATACAATCTTTTTGATTGTCTCGAGTTTAAAAATATAATTAGTAAAGGTTAACAATTTATATGTATGATTTATGGTAGCATTCATTCCTAATGGATTCCTTTTTAATCAGTATATGCTACGTAGAATATTATTCTTTGAAAATAAGGGAAAAACGCAAAAAAAAAATTATGCAAAAAGCAAATAATAATTTATTTAAACAAATGCATATATATAGTATTGATTTGCTTTTGTAATATAGTACAAACATACGCAATTAAAGTATATAAAGTATATATGTATAATAAATAAATAAGTTATTTATGAAAATGTTTAAGACCGACAATTACTACTATATTAAGAACAGATTGTCTATATATAGACTTGCCACTCGTATAAAAAAGTATAGATTGAAGATGTAAATAGCTATTAAATCCTAGTTCCGAATTTATCTTTTTCCAATTCTTCCCTTCGATCAATTTATTTAAAAAAAAAAAAAAGCAAAAAAAAAAAAAAAAAAGAAATATAGTATACAATGCCAGTTTAAACAGGTTTTATGATCTGGCAAATAATTAAAAAATTCTTTTTGTACAAAAGCTTGTCATTTAACATTTAAAAAAACAAAGATAATGAATATTTGAATTATTTAGCCGGGTAGATTAAAATTCAGAGAATTAAATATTGTAATTAGATCAAAAAAAAAAAACAAAAGAAAAACATTGTTATATAAAAATTTTCTCGGAATTAGTATTACAGACTAAGAAGAAAACAAAAATGATAGAACAATTAACAGACTTATTTTCTTCATTCTTGTCGGGCCTTGCGGCAATGGTAAGTAATCATCATAAATATTTATATGGAGGATTAGTCATTTTATTAATTAATATTAATAATAAAACACACAATTCATAATCTTTGTAAATAGGCGTATTTACATAATTTCTTCGTTTCCGTAATACTATATCGATCGGGTCATGCAAATGTGTCAAATATTTTAAAAGTAATATTTAATTTTAGTGGAATAGCAAGATCAGTGATTATATATTCATCGATAATGGTTTCACAAAATATCTCTCCTTACCAATGCTCGGCTTTAACATATTTACAAGTTGTGGCAAATTTTTTTTATCGACAAGCTTTAATGGGCTTTTTGTTGTGGAGATTAAAACAAATCGAGTATTCCATCTGGGATCGATGGATTAGTTTTGGATTATTCACCACCAGAACTGTTTTAAACGTAAGTTTATTATAAAATTTTTATAAATTTTCGCTGTTTTGTTTAATAATAATAATAATAATTTTATTTTCTAATCATAAAAATTTTTTAAACAAAGTTTGCATTCTTTGGTTATCAAAACCCACAATCAATAACTAAATCAGGAGATTTTAACCAAACGACTTGCATTTCAGCTCATGAGCCTGAAGCACTACCAATCTATCTAAGTTTCGTGGGGATTGATTTTATCATTGACTCATTCGTAACAGTTCGTTTGGTTCAAATATTAACAGAGGGAAATCGAAGTGCAGCAGAAGCTAATTCAATAATTGGCAGGAAACCTCCAACAAAAAGAACATTATTCACCGCCGTTTTGTACTGGAATTTTTTAAGATTAACTATAGATTTTTTATATAATGCGATAACCGTTATTCAAGCTGTTGAAAATCAATCAATCGATAATTCGATATTGAATGGTTTCTTGTGTTTTGTGACTATTGCACAATCTTATTTAATCACAGTTGATGCGGAAATCGTTAAAGTTATCGAGGGTAGTAGTGAAAATCCTCCAAATATTGAATGGCTAAATAGTGTATTAATTGATGATGATGAGAGAGGTGATAATAATAATAATAATAATACTAATAATAATCATAATAGTTATAGTAATCTCAACGATCTTAACGATAATAATGTTGATCTGTTAATGGTAGGAACAGGAACGCGGGACGTACCTTCTTCGTCTTCGTCAACATCAAGATCAATTTCAATGTGCCCAAAGATTATGAAACCATGGGTACCATCGACAACTACTGTTACTCGTCGATCTCAGTATACACCACCATCTACATGGATAAGAGAATCCATGCTTGGCCAACGACAAACTGGTTCTTTTCAACTTGATAAAGGAAAAATAGTTGTAGTGTCAATGCAAAGATTATCATTTTTCGAATGGGCTAATATGGTAACTGGTTCTGATAATTATGGAATTGTTAATAATGACAATTCTTACAGTGAACATGAAACTAAACGAAGTAAAACTGACAAAAATGGTTCGATTGGCTTTAATAATAATTTTGGAATGGATTCGGTTAGGTTAATGGGTAATTATAACTCGTTGGTACCTGAATCTGCTTATATAAGCCAATCAAGACGTGGTAGTGACACTTCAACAATGTCAAATTCTTCTTTACAAACAAAAACCAATGACACTCATTTTATTAATGATTTAAATTATAAACACTCTTTTATATAACTAATTTAAATAGTAAACACCCGATCTAACGTTTTATAATCTTACAAAACGTTAAAATAGCCATTTCTTTTTTATTAATTCAGTAATTTTGAAATTACCTTCTTTTTGTATTTATATTTTGTATTTGATTTTTTGTAAAAAAAAAAAAAAAAAAAACAAAAAAAAAGAAAAAAAAACATGGAAAAATGGAATGTAAGGTAATATAAAAATTAAATAAAAAAATGTTCTGGTTGTATCGTTCTGTTTAAATTTTGTTTATTTGGAATCTGTTTAAAATTTCGTTTGAATTTTAATTGTGATTTATCAGTAGTAGTGGTCTTTTAAATTTCCCGAATAAGCATTTTTTTGAATAAACTTTTTCGATTGCTATTATTACAACAGAATTTCTAAAATTAACGTTAATCGTTGATAATTTTTCTTGAAACTATCTGAAACCATTTCAAACTCCTTGAAATCTTTCAAAGCTGGTTTCACGAAATATTATTCCAATATAATCGGCTTATTTATAATGTAGCCGTCTTGAAATGAAACCTTTGGTATTAAAAGTTTCTTATAAATTCTGAGACAATTTAAACATTTCTCATCAATTCTGACAAATTAAAAATTTTATTCGTTACCCGAAATCTTTTTTAGTTTCGTTCTGTAAATTAATTAACTCTCCAGAAACTACATCGCTGTCTCCGGACTGAAAGTTCGAAAATGTCAATGTAATTTTCAAAGGGCCAGATAATTTACAGGATAAAACCGAAAGATTTCGGGTAACAATCAAATTTATTTGTCCCAGAATTTGAGAACAACTGTACCATTGAATGTGAAATTATACTTGTCGGATACTCTTCGGATACTCTTTGGCATAGCCTATTTATTATGTTAGGTATTTGAGATTTCGACCTTTAATTCGACTCTTAATTCTCGATTATCACATACGTACTATCACATGTTTTTTCTAGAAACAAAATTATGTTAGTGATACATAATTCTTTTTCGCACGGTCAAATATGCGCACAGACCCAAGAAACCCTGGTCATCTCGCGTAGAGCTTGAATCCGTTATCTGTTTTCATATCTGATATTAAATTTCACGGATATCCGATATCCAACGGATAACGGAATCAAGCTTTAAGTCTACGAATTCCTCTTTTTATACGTTCGAGAAATAATATGACTTTCTTTTTTTAATTGTTTTTGATCACGTTACAATAATTATTAACCTTAATTCTTCTTTTGTCCATTGCAATACTTTACTCTTGTCACAAGACGTTTTTTTTCTTGGTGAAATACGTATATCATCCGGTTTGTCCAAATTAGGGATGGTTCCGAACTTACTATTCCAAGTTACAAAGTTGCACAAGGGGAATACATATGTATATACGACATACGTATCGGTATGTATTAATTTTAAAATCGTGTTGTTTTCTCTGTGGTCAATATATCCCTTGCATTTACTCTTCTCTCTTCTAATCCTTTTTTTCTTCTAATCCCTTTTTCCTTATAAATCCTTTTTTTCTTAATCCTTTTTTATCACATTAGTATTTTTATTTTATCAAAATGCCTTTATTACATACAATTCCGACTGTCCTTTCAACAAGTGTTAACCGCATAATCAAAGGCAGACCTCGTCCAACTTGGAATTATAAATTTCATGTTGGTTTTAACCTATTTAAATCCATGCTAACTGCAACATTTGATAGACCAATCGAAGAAGTTCAAATAATAAGTAACTCGACTAAAATTTCACCACCACCTGGTATTTCTGTAAAAGAAAATATAGAATTATCTGATAATTATCGAGCAATTGCTCAAATTCATCTTGAAAAATTATTGCCAAAATATGATGATGTTTTGGATCCAAAATGGAAAGATACAAATGGTGAAGAATTAACCGGTGAATGGGTTTATTTGGATGATTTACCAAAGAAACATCCTATCGTTTTATTTTTACATGGTGGTTATTTTTGTATTGGTGGAACTAAAATGATTAGATCATTAGCAATTGAAATTGCTAAAATATGTAAAGCTAAAGTTTTTGGTATGATTTACTACTAATATTATCATTACTATGTTATCATAATATTCTCCCTCTTTTTTATATTTTATATCAATATAATTTACTTAAAATTATCATCAGGTGTTGATTATCGATTATCACCACAACATCAATTTCCTGCTGCCCTTTGTGATGCTATCGCTGCATACTTGTATCTAATTAATCCTGGAGAAGATGCAGAATTTGACCCTATTGATCCTAAAAGAATTGTTATTATGGGGGAGAGTTCAGGTAATGTATATTTATTTTATTTACGTTATGATGTTGTTTCTATTATCTTTACAAGAAAAAAGAAAAAATTTGTTATGATTTAAAAAAATAAAAAAAAAGAAATTATTATTCTATTTCATAACGTAATTTCCTTGTCTTTATAGTAGCATATAAATGAAAAAAAACGTAGTTTTATTACAATCTTTAATATTGTACAGGTGGTGGATTAGCTATGGCATTGACTTTGTTTCTTCGTGATGCTGGTTTACCATTACCATGCGGCATCGTTGGATGGGTATCATCATTATTTTATATTGGTTTTCTTTTTTTTTGTTACCTATTTTTACTGTTCATTCTATTATCTATTTTATTATAGTCACCTTGGGTTGATCTCACACATAGCATGCCATCTTCATTAGATCCAAATCTTATAGGTCTTGACTCGCTTTGTCCGATGGCAACGTATAGGCCAAAACCTCAAGTTTCATCTCCTGCATGGGTTCAATATCAAGAAGATTCTCAAAAACTTGCTGATCAAATTAAGAAAAAAAATCCTTTAATAATTGGTGATGAATCTTTTCAACGAAATGAACAGATTCAAATGTATTGTAATAATGAAGCTTTGGCTATTCCTTATGTTAGGTAAATAATTTTTTAAACTTTTCTAATATAAATTTATTGTCTGAATTCATATAAATACTTTTTTTTTTAGTCCGTTATTGGCTGAAAGTTTGGGTGGCATGCCTCCTATGTTATTGGTAATTTTCTTTTTATTCTTAATTGATTTTATTTTTATAACTAAGTTTTTATATTTTTAAAATAGCAAGTGGGAGAAATTGAGAGGGTACATAATGAAGTCGTACTTTTTGGTCATAAAGCAACTCAACCACATAAATTTAGGGTTCCACAATATTCTACTTCAAATTTTGATAAGTCTCCATTTCAAAAACCAACTAGTGTTATATTGGAAGTTTATGATGATATGCCTCACGGATGGCAGGTAATTATAATTTTTGTTTTTGTCTTTGGGATATATATATATATATATATATAGGAAAGTCAATAGAAGTGTGACAAATTATTTTAGTAAAATTTTTTGAACTTTAAAATTCAAATATTTCAACAAGTTTGTATATTTTAAAATTTAAAAAAATTAGTTTATTCATATTTTACTGACTCCTTTTATATTTATTTTTCATGATTATAGAGGTTTCCTTCTGCTGAACAAGCTCAGATATCATTTCATAGAACTTGTAATTTTATAAAATATGTTACTCTAGTAGAAAATGATTCAACTGAAAATTCATTATTTAAAGGTATAAGAATTAATAACAAAGGTGAAGAAAGACCTTTAGAACAATATGATCTTGATGTTTTAAAATGGGATAAAGTTGGTATTGTTCCTGATATAATCGATAATACAAAAGCAAAGTTAATATCTAATAATTTTTAGCTTAACAGCTTACATATTATTACAGGTTTTCATAATTTGTGAAAAGCTTGCTGTAAAATCGCGTATTTTTTTGTTTAGTTTTTAATAAAATAAATAAATATTTCAATCGTATTTTACTTTCTATACATATACACCCTCTCTAAACGAATGTTTTATTATCAGTCATCCGAATTGTCGCGCAGCTCGCAGGGAATTTTTTTTCCATTAAGGTCACATTATTATCGCACCTAAAATTCATGATTTCCGAAGAAATACTTCTGACAATTATTAAGTAAAAAAAACAAGGCTGTACTTTTAATTAAAAAAAACATATTGTGTATTCCTTGGCATTTAAATCACTTCTCGTAAAACTTGGAAGTAATTAAAAATCAAATAAAAAATTTTCTAATACTAACGTGGGTTGGTTGTTAGAACTATGTTAACAATATTTTTGTTTATCAAATTTATTTATATATCAAAAAAATATATATCGATATATATTTCGTAGCAAGTCTACATGTTGTACATTTTCTAATTTGGCAAAGTACTATTACACAAAGTCTCTGAGTTGGCCTTTACACCTAGTACGTGAGTAGTTGCACAACTTACTCTACGAATATTGATACACAAAGAGTTTTTGCGTTTATATTTACGTATGTATGAATGTACTACATGAACCAGTATTTAATAAATTATTTGACAAAAGTAATATATTCAGCATTTTGATGAAATTATTTCTTCTCCAATTTCTTGTGTAATTTATTGTATTAAAATGTCAAATGCAAAAGGCAATAACTCTTCAGATGAAATTATCCAAGCCACTAATGATCTTAATCAACTGAATTCCATTGATATAAATGATTCAGACGGGGTATTTTGGCTTGGTTATTGTTACGAACACGGAATTGGAGTGGAAAAAAAATAAGAATAAAGCATTCATTAATTATCAAAAATCTGCAGAGATGAGTAGTTTTAATGGAATGTATCATGTTGGTTACTGTTATTATTTAGGAGTTGGTGTTGAAATCGATAAAAATAAAGCATTTAAGTATTATTTGAAATCAGCTGAGGCAGGTAATTCTATGGGAATTTGGAAAACTGCCATTTGCTACAAATACGGAATTGGTGTGAAAAAAAGTTTTAATAAATTCGACAAGTGGATAAAAAAGTAAGTTGTTTGTTAATATATTTGAAATATACTTTTAAAATTAGAAATTAAAATATTTCGTTTCTTAGGGAGTAAGTATAAATATCAATAATTTTTGATTATTTATTGACGTGGCTGAAGCTGGAGCTGGAACTTTAATTATTTTAATATGAAAATTTCAAGTATTTTTAAATATCTGGGTTAGGGTTTGGGGTTTGCTGATAATAAAAGAGTGCTGCATAAGTGAATTTTGGCAAGATATATATGAGTGACGGGCAGAGAAAACCGGGATATCTAAAAATTGATTTTTTTATACAAAGAAGTTCGGACTTTAATACAACACAGAAAAATCCGATCTAGAGCTGATAACATGTAATTCTAATTGTTCATTCTTTCAATCACGTGTTTTACTGATAACTTTTTAAAATACCACACTTCTCTGTATAAAAAAAAACTATTTTTAGATATCCCGGTTTTCTCTGCCCGTCACTCATATATATATATTTAAAGCGAGATTCCTAATTTCCAGCTTCAGCCACAGCATTTATTTTCAAATAATACGACTCGAAATCATTTTATTCGCTTTTTTCTAGTCCGTAAGTTATAAATCAATATAGGCATTTAAAAACAAGCTGTTCAAATTCACGAATATTACTATTTAATTTTATTTAACATGCTGCAGGTAGTAAGTATAAGGGACATTTTATTAATCTAAGCATTTAAAATAAGTTATTCAAATTCATGAATGTTTACTATTCAATTTCATTCAACATATTGCAGTTAGTGAGTGTGAAGAATATTTATTAACAGAATTTAAAATAAGGTTCAAGTTATGAACATTTATTATTTAATTTCATTTAACATAATCAGTAAGTAAGTATAAAGAACATTTATTAAACCGAGTATTTAAAGTAAACTATTCAAGTTCATGAATATTTACTAATTAATTTTATTTAATAAAAATACTGCAGCCAGTGAGTATAAAGAAGATTTATTAATCTAAGCATTTAAAATAATCTATTCATGAATATTTACTATTTAATTTTATTTAATATGCTGCAGTTAGTGAGTATTAAGAACTTTTATTGATTCAAGTATTTAAAATAAGCTATTAAAGTTCGTGAATATTTACTATTTAATTTCATTTAATATACTGCAGTGAGCGAGTATAAAAACATTTATTAACCTATGTATTTGAATAAGCCATTCAAATTTATGAATCTTTACTATTTAACTTTATTTAGACGGTGAGTATAAAGAACATTTATTAATAAGTATTTAAAATAAGCTATTCAGTTCATGAATGTTTATTACTTATTTTCATTTCAGTGCGTGAGTATAAAAAAAAATTATTAATATAAGTATTTTAAATAAGCTATTTAGTTAATGAATATTTACTACTTATTTTCATTTAGACGGTGAGTATAAAGAACATTTATTAATATAAGTATTTAAAATAAACTAGTAAAATTCATGAATATTTACTATTTAATTTCGTTTAACATATTGCAGTGGGTGAGTATAAAGGACATTTATTAACCAACGTATTTAATATAAACTATTCAAGTTCATAAATGTTTACTATTTAATTTTATTTAAATACTGCAGTTTGTGAGTATAAAGAATATTTATTAATTTAAGCATTTAAAAATAACCTATTCAAGTTCATGAATATTTACTATTTAATTTCATTAACATATTTTAGTAAGTAAGTATGAAGTTAGAATATTATTGGCTTTACTTGAAGCCAGCTTTAGCTACAATTTGAAGCTAAGCTAAAATCAAGTCAAACTAATAGCCTAAAGCTATAGCTTAAGCCAAAATTAAAAATTATTTAAAGTTATAAAAAATAATTATTGGTATTGGTTTTAGTTTTAATTGTAGCCAATAGTTTGAACCATGGCTTAGTTATAGCTTGGCTATGGTTTCTTTAAGCTAAGCTAAGCTATTTAAGTCAATAACATCTCTAGTATAAAGGATATTTATTAAAAATAAATATGCTATTCAAGTTTATTAATATTAATTATTTAATTGTATTAATATACTTTAGTGTGTGAGTATAAAAGAATATTATAAATATAAGTATTCAAAATAATTTATTCAATTTTATGAATATTTACTCATTTATCATACTGCAGTTAGTGAGTATAAAGAGCATTTATTAATCTAAAGATTTAAAATCAGCTATTGAAGTTTATAATATTTATTATTTAATTTCATTTAACATTCTGCAGTCCGTGAGTATAAAGAACATTTATAATCTGAGTAATTAAAATGAGCTATAAAAGTTCATGAATATTTATAATTTTATTTCATTTTATTTGCATTAATCAGTCGGTAAGCATAAAATTCTTCTTATTTAAATTTAAGAGATATGAATAAAAAGGAATAACCAATATAATGCAATTAATAACTATAGTGATTCAAACCGTGGAAAATGTGCACATTGTAATGAATATTATACTCGTGATGTATGGTGTCAGGCATGTGACCCTGACATAGAAATTCAAGGATGGACAAGTGGAAATTGGGATATTGATAATTGCATGAAAGAATTTCAACTTCGAACTCATAGATATGAATATATGGTTGAGTGGATCCCATTCCATAGACTAAAAAATATTAAAAAAATTGGAGAAGGTGCATTTGGTTCGGTATTTTCTGCAACCTGGTTGGATGGACGAAGAATCGAAATAGTTAAAAATATTGGTGCCAATAGTTATTTTCATGAGAGATCCCGAGAACCATCTAGCACAGTTGCACTTAAGACCTTATCTTGTTCAAAGGATAATCCTCAAGATTGTTTAAAAGAAGTAAGTTAATTATTTATTGTACGGTTTATCAAATGCATGTTTAAATGCATGTTGAACTGATTATGTACATTTATACAGCTTGACAATCATATGAAATGTACACTTATGGGTAGCAAGCTTAAAATATACGGATTGACACAAAATACAGAGACAAATGAATACTTAATGGTATTTCAATACGCTAATAATGGAAGTCTTCACAAGTTTTTAAGAAATAATTTTCGTGATCTTACCTGGCAAACTAAATTAAAACTACTCGAAGATATTTCTGACGATTTAAAATGGATTCATGAAGCACAATATATTCACGCAGACTTTCACAGTGGCAATATTTTGCAACATAAAGGCATTAATGAAAACATGGGATCCATGAGATCTTACATTTCAGATCTAGGATTGTCTAAGAAGTATAACGATAACAATTCAGAAGGTGGTATTTATGGTGTCATGCCTTATGTCGCTCCTGAGGTTTTATCAGGTCAAAAGTTTACAGAAGCAGCCGATATTTATGGCTTCGGAGTCATCATGTCAGAGATGTCAACTGGACAAAGACCTTTTGATGGTTATCAATTTGATGAATGTCTCGCAATTAATATTATTCGCGGATTGCGGCCTGATTTTGCACCTGGAACTCCAGATTGCTATATTGAATTTGCCAAACTATGCATGAATGCTGATCCGCAAAAACGGCCTACTGCTCTGGATATTAAACATAAAGTCAGTGAATGGATTAAAATCATGGAAAGTTCAGATGATGCAAATGAAATTAAAAAACCATTCTTAGAAGCAGATAAAATAGCGAAAGAATTGCCAATTGTTCCACCAAAACATTCCGACTTTATGTACACCAGCAAAATTATCAATACACAAAAAATATCAAATATAATTAAAGGTAATTTTGTAAAATTACACTGTTTTACTTTTTTAATCAAAACTGATTATTTTATATTAGCTACTTTACCGAGTCAATCTATTGCTTCTGTTGAAATTCCTGTTGGTAAGTATAATTATACCTATCGCACTTATAATCAAGGATTTAATACTCATATTATATTTATGTT